TGAATGAAATATGGTTGTTTGGTAAATGTTCTCTGAATGACAACAAATTACCATTTTAACCCTCTGTATGCTTTGGTCCTGGTTTGACATATTTTCCAAGTCCAAAACATGGGTTGAGCTATGGGTTCCTAAATGATACCAAAATGATTAGCTCATATGTTAAAAGAAAATCGAAAAGGAATGAACAAGAAGCACACTTGCTGTTAAGTATTACAAATTGCACAAATAATTTGAATCCACCAATGATCAAATCGATTACCTCATCATAGCAATTCGAAAAACAAAAAAATGATGCACATAAACATGAGATTTCATACAAGAAACTAAGGTTTCACTCACTTTTGGATTTGGGTTATGCTTTCATCCACAATGTGATTGCAGAGGGAATAAGCATTCCAAACAGCCCTAAGTTCATCGACATTGTGATTGCAGAGGGAAGGAAAAAGGAGACAGAAGGGAAATACATGAAATCGAGTGGGAGACGATGTAGAAGACAACAGAGACGATGGAGAAGACGCTGGAGATCACGATCGAGTGGGATGAGGAACGAGGATCTCGCGTGGGAGGAGAGAGCGGTTGGAGACGTGATGAGGGTAATAATGGAACAAGAGCTGGAGGGAAGCAGTAGGGGAGGCGACCGGAAGACGACCACCTGGAAGACGGCGACCAAGAGCTGACCGGAAGAGCGACGATCATGGGGGGGAGACAGCGAATGGAAGACCGACGATGGGGGGGGGGGAAGACGACGAATGGAACCGACGATGGAAGGGGGATGCGATGTGAAGAACGGCTGGTGAGAGGTGTAACACCCAAAAAAAATGGAAAAAAAAAAACTAATTATAAGAACATATAAATTATATATATATATATGAGGTAGCTAGGACCCAAACAGGAACTTGACAGAAGCTAAATCTCAAAATAAAATCACCCAACAAAGGGGAAAAGTACAGCGTTTACACAAGAGACGACGAATGAGACGACGAAAACAACCTACTAATCTAAGCAATTTTACGTTTAGATTAAGGACGGGTGTTCCTCTCATCTACCAAAAATTTACGTAACGTCCATCGTTGCGACGCTCAAGCACCGAAGGCTTGTTCCAAATATAAACTTTTATCGGCTAATGCTCCCCTCAACCCTTTGAAACCCCGCTGCTAAAGGAACCTGATATACATACCAACATATAATAAGTGTTAGGCTTACGCCTAGTGAGTCCAATCAGTGAAATAAATGAAATTATAAAATCTTTATATACACATATATATATATATATATATATATAAATAACGTAACCTTAAACAATACCGGGTGAATAAATTGTTCGCAAAGTCTTGGGGTGGAACCAAAACATTCGAAGATGACAGGGGAGACCCGATTTACCGTTAATTATGACGGAACACAAAGTAAGTCATAAATCAACGTTATAGAGCATCACTTACAGGTATAATACCATCGACATCAACTTAAACCAGTCATGTAGTCGGTCGTGATCTTACACTCTTTATCTCAGAAATTACATAATAATCACAATGCCTATTTTCGAGTGGAAGTGTGAAGGTGATTTGGAGATTACATAATGATCGCAATGTCTATTTCCAATTTACACCATCCTTCACACAAATATAATAAAACGACTTCCAAGCCTACAAACCCATTACATTCTAATGACATGCTTAAATGCGTTAACATAAGCATATAACCACTTGTACATCACTCAAATTTTTGCATAACATTCTCATTTTGTCAATGACTAGCTCCAAAAAGTAGAACATGAGGGTTTTAGAGTGTTATGACCAACCTTACCTTAAAACAATTACTTTACCAAGTGGTTAGAACCATTTTTCCAAACTCATCTTATAATTATAAACATGATCCCCAAATTCACCATTTTGACCTAAAACCTCTATATCGACCAAGCAAATAATTACTTAGAACTAGAGTATTAGAATAAGTATAGCAGATAACTTTCAATTAGTATAAAGCTTCTAAAAAGGGTAGGATGAACTCACCTTGCAAGATTTAGGAGAAATCCTGAAATTTGGAAACAAACTGAGGCAAAAAAAATGAGATCTTGATGCAAATGGCAGCCCCCTTCCTCTCCTCTTCCTTTCTTCCTCTCTTCTTCCTCCCTTTTTCTCTTCTTCTTTCTTTTTCTTCCCTTTTCTCTTCTTCTTTCTTTTCTCCCTGCCAACGACCAGCCCCCTCCCCCCTTTTTGACTTTTTTCCTTTTTTTTTCCTTGGGAAGAAGCATCCCCACTAAAAGGTGGGTCGGTCTTGGGGTAAGACACCATTAGGAACGCCCCCCCCCCCCCCCCCCCCCCCCCCTCCTTCCACTTTTCTCCTTTTTTTTTAAAATAAAAAGAAAATAAAATAAAGTCTTTTTAATTAAAAGGGTTTATAAATTCCTAATATAAACACGTAAACATCACTTAACGAGATGGAAACCCAAGATGCGAACGATACAAAGATATGAGAAAAATCTCAAGTGTTACAAGAGGGCAGAGTTGGAAATATGAACATCTGAATGGTTTAGTGAAGCTCTAGGTGCAAAATGGTTAAGATGTTAATGTAATCATTAAGAGCTTGTTTTTTTTTTTTGCCAAACACTCTTGACCTCTTACCGATTAAGAGGTTGGCTCTTAATGTCATCATTAAGAGCCAAACAAACAGCCCCTTAGTCGTCTTAAGATTAGTTGGTTTAACGGGTTGGATATCCAGATTAATAAAAAAAAAAATCAACCCAATCAAATACAACTAATCTAATCCAATCTAATTATTGTAGTTTAAAATGGGTTGGATTGGGTTGACGGTTTAGTAGTATATAGATAAGTTTGATAAATGAAACACGATAAATATTGCTAATAATAATTGTCCAACGAAGTGATTACAATCATCCAAATGTATATATTTAAACCTTTAAGTCTTATAGTCAAAATTTAAAAGTTGGAATGGAATGGTAGATAATACTTCAAATCATCATTTAAATGCGACCATTTTAGACTTTTACGACTAAAATTTCCTTCGCATCGAGTTTATTTATGTTGTCTATAATTTGGCAGCAAGTCAATTTGGAGAATGGGGTTATGGACTTGATCAATCAACTAATCGACCTGCAGTTGAGAAAACAATTATTAAACTAGCAGCAATAGCGTAACTGTATAAGGGTTTATGGTTGATCCAATTTTGGACTTGATCGATCAACTTGGACTTATGGACCGAATCTATTTTAGGCTTTGGGATGTAAGCACTTGACCGGTGGATTAAATCTATTTTGGAGAGTTTCATTTACACAATATATCAGTGGCGGATCTATGATTTTTGTTCAGTGGGGTCACCTTTAAGGTAAACTAAAGATCTGCAAAATCGTTCAATGTGTTTTTAACCTAAATACAACGTTTTCGAGGGAATT